GAGGTTCTGAAGAACACGGAGAAGACCGTTCAAGTTTTTGAGACTGAGAAGCGAGGATCCATATAGGAAGACTGGGGTAATTAGTTTATGTAGGAATATGAGGCCATAGTAATTGATCAAGTCTTTGATGTTAACGAATAATCTTTTTGTTGAGTGACTGTAGAACTTGTGGCATGTCAGTGAATTGTAATGAGCTAGCACATTGAGACTTCCAATCAACTCAAGCTCTTGAAAAGCGATGTACGCATTTATATACAAAACGTAGCTGATTCAATATTCGGTATCCAATTCCAAGATATTATGAATTGCTCCCAAAGTATCCATGTTGAACTTTCGTAATGCTGACCGTGTGAACATACGGTTACCTAACCTGTAGTGTTGATGCTAGCTTCACAAATGAGGGGTTTCTCGCACTCACCCGAGTCATTGTTCTAGAGGCTCGGCTCCCCGGCTTTTTTCGGCGAAAGTGGGGGCTTTCATCTTATCGTCCCCTCAATGAGTCTACCGAGTGTCATCACTGGATTTCATAGCAGGCTTCTGTTTATTAGTGTGCCGACAACTCCATTGCTTCTCTACGCACATACAACCAAGGTCTGGTTCTCATCTTACTAAGGGTCAATTCACCATCATGGATTCGACCATGGACAAGCCAGATTACGAGAATCTTGAGGTGATACAGAGGAATAGGCTTCCTGCCAGAGCCTACTGGTTACCTCCTACGCATCTCCTACTCAATGGAACATGGGACTTCCAATATGCCTCAACGCCCTTGGAAGCTTCAGAATATCCCCCAAAGGACGGAAGCTCTGAAGAGACTTGGTCCCCGATCAATGTCCCCGGCCATTGGCAACTGCAAGGACATGGTCATCCGCACTACACCAATGTCCAATTTCCGTTTCCGTCAAACCCTCCTTACATACCAACTGAGAATCCTATGGGGACCTATCGACGTCATTTCAAGGTTCCTACTGAATGGGACAGCACATCTCAGCTCAGACTGCGTTTTGATGGTGTTGACAGCGCGTATCACGTCTGGCTGAATGGCTCCTTTGTCGGATATTCGCAAGGGAGTCGCAATGCTGCCGAGTTCGACATCACGGACATCACCAAGAAGGACAGTGACAATGAATTGGTAGTGAGAGTCTATCAATGGTGTGAGGCGTCATATATCGAGGATCAGGACCAGTGGTGGCTGTCAGGTATCTTCCGCGATGTGACTTTATTGGCACTCCCTGGACAAGACAGGATTGAAGATTTCTTTGTCAAGACAAACCTTGATGAGAACTATGAAAATGCTGTTCTCCAAGTTGATGTCACCCTGAATAAGCTGGAAACGTCATCGGTTGATATTCTGCTCATTCTTCGAGATGCTGGTGTCGAAGTGACCTCAACACGCAAGACAGTTGATGCCAACAAGACGAAGTTCGAGATCCCTGTTTCGAACCCAAAGAAATGGACTGCTGAGAGCCCTTACCTCTACCAGCTCGAGATCTCCCTCCAGGCACAAGGAGGAGAGTCAATTCAGACGATTACGCAGAACGCTGGCTTCCGCAAGGTCGAACTGAAAGACGGTCTCATTACTGTCAACGGCTCACCCATTCTTCTTCGGGGCACAAACAGGCATGACCATCATCCAATCCATGGAAGGGCAGTCCCATATGAGTTTCTCAAACAAGATCTGTTGCTCATGAAACAGCACAACATTAATGCCCTCCGAACAAGTCATTATCCTGGCCAGCCCTGGCTGTACGACTTGGCTGATGAGCTAGGATTCTGGGTCATGGATGAGGCTGATCTTGAGTGTCATGGCTTCTATGACGTTGTCACGCAGCACGTCACACCTGCTCCATATTTGGATTATGAGGGCAGCAAGGAGGAGTTCTTCCCCAAGGCAGCGCAGTTCACCTCTGATAATCCCGAATGGCGCGAGTCGTACCTCGACAGGATGGTACAGATGGTGCAGAGGGACAAGAACCATCCTTGCATCTTCTCATGGTCTCTTGGCAATGAGTCCTTTTACGGTGTTAACCACGTCGCGATGATCGAGTATGCACGAAGTATTGATGACCGACTTATTCACTACGAAGGCGACATCAAAGCACAAGAGACTGATATGTATTCGTACATGTATCCCGATCAAGATCGACTCAAGAGACATGTTGAAATCGATGGCATCAAGGATGGGCAATGGGAGAAACCTGTTATTCTTTGCGAATACGCTCACGCCATGGGTAATGGCCCGGGCGGTCTGGATGACTACCAAGATGCATTCCGCAAGTATAAACGCCTGCAGGGCGGTTTCATCTGGGAATGGGCCAACCATGGTCTCTTGCACAAGGATGGCTATTATGCTTATGGAGGTGACTTTGGTGACCAGCCCAACGACTCCACATTTGTCATGGATGGTCTCTGCAATAGCGAACACAAACCGACGCCGGGCCTCATTGAGCTGAAGAGAGTGTTCCAGCCCATCAACTTTAAGTTCGAAGATGGCAAGGTGGTTATTACAAATGAGTATGACTTTATCGGCCTTGACCATTTAGAGGCGAAGTATGCCATCAAAGCATATGGCGACGAGTAAGTAAACGTGCAGCTATGGTGAGATTAGGCTAATCAGTGGCAATTAGACAATCATTGCTTGAGTCGGGCACCCTCGCAGTGCCAAGCGTCCGACCATGGGATACTGTTGAGCTTGCTCTCCCCGCCGACCTGGCCAAGTACTCGGATCATGACGAAGAAGTGTTCTTGAGTCTCTCCTTTACTCTCAAGGAACCTACCTCGTGGGCACCAGCTTCACATGAGGTAGCATGGTTCCAGCACAAGATCTCCGCCGACAGAAAACCCAGTATCCCCGCCAGTCTGTCAGCTTCCGGAAGTGTCAAGGTTGTCGAAACCCGAACCAAGGTTGAAGTATCCGGCTCGGACTGGGAGATACATTTTGATCGCGTGCGAGGATACGTCACCAAGTGGTCTCACGGATCAGATCTGCTGGAAGTTGATCCGGCAACTCGTGCGGCAATTTATCCATGCTTCTGGCGCGCACCGACAGACAACGATAAAGACAGCGCAGTCAGCGTATGGAAGGACTACGGCGTCCACCGAATGACCTCTCAGCTGAGATCATTCAAGGTTGAGAACAGGGCAGACGGCTCTGGTGTCAGGATCGAGACCAAGACATATTTTGCGCCACCAGTTTTGGGCTGGGGATATGACATTCAAACTGTCTACAACATATCCTCCAAGGGCGCATTATCGATAAAGCTGGACCTCAATCCTAAGGGAGTCTTCCCAGTCGACGTCCCTCGAGTTGGCTTAAACCTTAGATTGCCCAAGAGTCTCAGTCAAGCCTCGTGGTTCGGTCGAGGTCCAGGCGAGTCTTATCCCGATAAGAAGCACTCACAAGCCGTTGGAATTTGGTCTTCGCCTGTTGATGACCTCGAAGTTCCATATGATGTCCCGCAAGGGAATGGAAACAGAATGGATACTCGTTGGGTGCGGCTTGTAAATGCCGACGGTCACGGAATCAGAGCGTCTAGGGTCGATGCTGCGACCTTCAACTGGACTGGCAGCCGCCTGTCAGATCAGACTATCGAGGACGCAAAGCATCCTTGCGACCTTGTGCGTGAAGATGCTACGCTTCTTAACCTCAGTCCGAGGGTCGCTGGTGTTGGTAGCGCGACATGTGGACCTGGTGTGAGGGACGATTTGTTGGTCAAGGTTAAGCCTGAGTCATACGAATTTGTTCTAGAAAGTATTTAAATTGAATGAAAAAAGAACAAGTTCACAATTATTACTCTTAAAGCCACTTGCCACCCTTCACCACAGGCCGTAGACTGTCATCGAGCTCATAAACGATAGGTGTCCCTGTAGGGATATCCAGCTCCACAACCTCATCATCCCCCAAACCATCGATAATTTTTACCAGTGCACGGAGTGAGTTACCATGAGCCGCAACAAGTACAGTCTTGCCAGATTTCAAGTCGGGAATGATGCACTCCTTCCAATACGGTTCCACGCGTGCCACGACGTCTTTCAATGATTCTGTTCTTGGTGCTTGGATGCATTGCACGCTTGTGTACTCGTTCTGCTTCTGGTAGGCGTGGTCGGACATCGGCGGCGGCTGGATATCATACGAGCGCCGCCATATTTTGACCTGCTCATCACCGTATTTCTCTGCCGTGGCCTTTTTATTTAGGCCTTGTAATGCTCCGTAGTGGCGCTCGTTGAGTCTCCAGCTTTTCGTAACCGGGATCCAGTGTCGGTCTGCTGTATCGAGGGCGATATTGCCTGATGTGATTGCACGCCGCAGTAGCGAGGTATGGGACACGTCTGGCAGGTGATTGTGTCTCTTCAAGAGCGCTCCAGCCTGGATTGCTTCAGTGCGGCCGCTTTGAGTGATACCGACGTCTTTCCAGCCTGTGAAAAGGTTCTTTTCATTCCAGGTGCTCTGGCCATGCCGAAGAAGTATCAGTTTAAAAGTCATTGTGATTTTGGCGCTAATGCAACTGGGAGTTCAGTGTAAAGTAAGCGCCGTTTTATAGACGCTTAAAAGCCGTTGGTTGTTACTGCCCGGATTGACATTTATAAGAGTGTTATTTTGAGTTGATAGTCCCCACAGCTGATGGCTCACATCACGCGCCTCACACACGTTGGTCTTCAATAGAACCTTGATGAACATCCGAGAGTTCCGAATAGCAAACCTACGTCACAGTCTCATGAGTGTGATAGGACAATTGTCCAGTGGGAGGTCACCCTGATGTCTTACAGACCTGTCACCTGAAATATATTTGGGTCCGGTGTTGGCACTGTTCGCCGCGCAAATATTGAAACCCCGCGCATTTATCCTAATATTGAAGTTGGGCACTGGAATAAACTTTCCCAAACCGTAACTAGAGCCAATTAAACTTTTCTAATTTCCTTTGTCACTTGTAATAAAGTTACTACACTTTCAAAGCCGTCTTTTATATTCCAGCCTCACGTGTCTGAGACGAAAACAGCGATTACTTTCCTTGCATTTCACCCAAGTTCTTCGGAACTCCAAGTTCTCTAAGCGAATTCGTCAGACCAAGCTTTACCCAGTTCTCAATCTCCTTCTCGGTAGCGACGGCGATTACCCCCAACATACTCACAGCATTCACGCCGGCCTCTTTGTTGACAGCCGCTTTACGACGAGGCATAACCACTATCCAGCGAGATGTGAAAGCCACGTTGTGCGGGCACGCCTGCCCATCTGGTATATCCTTTCCGGTGATAGCCTTCCATGCTTTCGTCGCTTGCTGCAGAAGCTGGAGGTAAATGTCGGTCCCTTTCGCAGCTGCAGTGGTTCTGTCTTGAAATTTGTGGTAGAACCATTCGAACGGCACGTTTGGCTCTTTGGCGCTGTCTGAGTTCAGAAAGTCGACCGCAAATCCACTGGCGGGAAGAGGCATCAACTGTACATGCTTGTGCAGTCGGCTGCACCCGGCATCTTTACCGCAGTTGAAGAACACAACATAGTCTGTTGTTTCATTATTCAAGGAGGCCAAAGTGCCCCACGCAGCTTCAAAGTCGCTATGGTTCAATGGCTCGTATTGTCTACGATACCCATCGCGAGTGAGCATCATCAGGTGAGGTCGGGAGAAGCAAAATTTGTTGGCGACAAGGAAGTGAGTGCTGCTTCCACTGCCGCCCATCTCGAAGCCATTTGTATCGATGTCGCTACCAGGGAGGAGCTGTTTCGATAAGCTAGTCCCGGGTGAAGATGACGATTCTGGTGTAGATAAGGTCGGCTTCTTGATAAGAGCTTTGGTGAGAACAAAATGAAACTAGATGCCAGTCGTGTCAATGTTAGCCGCTTTTATCTTCAGTATTAGCTTTAGCATAAGAAGCGAACCTTTAGGTCTCCGTCTGTATGCTCTACAATCTTCTGGGTTTCATCGTAGAGAACAAGCCCGGACTTGGTCAGGGCGTCAAATGTGGACAGCAGAGCTGATCCATCAGTGGTTGGTGCAGGGCGGTCGTATGTCATGGTGCCTGTGCTGGGGCGGTTTGGATGACGTTTTTTTGTGCGAGATGCAAGCGAAGCATCCTGGGGAACATGAGATTATATGCATACGAAATGAATAATCCACCCGAGACATTTATGGCTCTGCTCCAGTTGGAACTTTCGTGAATTGTCGGTGTGCAACAGCGCTCTATGGTACAGTCATACAACGTAATAAATTATGCAATATTGCCACTTGTCATACTACATTCCCCAGCCAACAGCATGTGTTTCTACCGCGGAAATAATCAGAGTGCATAATGTTTCGAGAATTAAATGCATATCAAAATAAGTGCTGTGCTTCTGAATTATACTAGTTGAAGATTTTAGGCAGATGTTTTGGCACCGTCGCCCTTTTCTCCTGTTTCGGCAGCATCAGATGGACCAGACACCATTGGCTCTGTCGCCTGGTTACTCCCATCGTCGCTCGAGTGTGCTTCTTCAAATACTCTATCATCATACGCACGAAACATTAACCAGAAGGTTGGCGCCGTGGTAATCATTGTCACAGACAAACCTGTGTACAGATAGAGAATCTGAGGATCCTTTGACAATGGTGAGAATGCCATTCCAAGCGCAGAGCCAGCGCCTGAACTCAACTGGGCCATTGCCTGTACCAAGCTACGCATGTTTCTCGGTGCCTCAGAGTAGCTGTACTCAGCGAGAGTTGTGAAGCCCAAAATCTCAGCGACCCCGAGAAGAAAGTAGACGGGCGACTGGATCCAGACACTCACGTCGTTTGGCGACTTTCCACACTGCAAGGGCTTATCGTAGCAAGGTCCCTTGGTGTAAATGAGCTTTTGAACCCCAGCGGCATATGCCATTGCAGTACTCATCATGATGAAAGCCCATGTGATACGCGCAATGGGACCAAAAGCGAATCCCCGACCGCGGACAATGGGATAAACAAATCTCTGCATGATAGGTCCCAGTAGCACGCAAGCGATAGAATTTAGAGCTTGGATAGTATCGTTTGGGATGCCACCAAGTCTCATCTGTCCTGCTTGTGAAACAAGATTGTTTGTAATCTGATTCATGCAGAGATGGAATGGCACAAAACAGGCCCTAATGTCGATCAGCATAAGGGTCTAAGTAGTCCATCAAGGAAAGAAGAACTCACATCACCTTACAAGCCTGCAGACCTCTCTTAATCTCAAAGACAAACTTGTCATCCCATTCAACTTGGCGGCCAAAATTCTCGGACTGGTAGACTGGTGTAGCAGCTTCCCAGTTGAACTTGTGTCTTCCCGCGCACACGATAACTCGGGAAGCGCGGGGAAGAATATTTGCTTGAGGCTTTTGTTTGACTTGTTTTATTAGAGATCAGGACGAGCTAGGGAGGGGAAAGCGTACCAAGCGATTTGTGAAAAATGAGAAGCAAAGGTACCAGTGTCCAGGTCGCACAAAGAGGTAGCAGATAAGCAGCCCAGAACCCAACTAGCTTCTCTAGATAAGTAGAAGCCACAAGGGATAAACTTGCTATGTTGGTGAACCTGCAGCAAAAGTGTCAGCAAATTCTGTGTGTGCTCTTTCATGCAGAACTTCCTACCAGTACGACACATTGTAGATATACTGAAGTGTAAGCGCCCGGTCTGCGATAACGCGCTCCCCTTTCTTGGTCGTGATAACTTGAGGAGCAGCTTCGGCGTATTGGTCGCCTATGAATGGAGAGGCGGTTGCCTTTACACCAGCAGTGCCGATTCCAAGGACAATCATGGCGAAGCCCAGTCCCACCATCTTGGTGATCTGGGAGTGGCTAAAGGCCGGGAGGGATGTAACAAAGATGATCAAACATCCGCAAAAGTTCAAGCTGCAGCCGGTTCTCAGTACCGATAGGCTTTGGTCGTTGAGGATGCGTTTGGACTTACAAGTAGCTCAAACAGAGCGTTTTATGACGCCCCAGCCATGTGTCTGAGATGATAGCCCAAATAGTCGGGAGAAGGAAGCTCAAGAAGAGGAATGCACTGGTAATGTTTGTAGCCGTTGCCTGGCCCAGCCCCAAAGCGCCGGGAACAGCGACGCTATCGGCGGGATTCTGAATATAGTTCTCTGCGCGCAATGTGAGTTAGCAACGAGGGAGCGTACATCGGTGATACGTACGCCATGGCGTTGTTACGGCATAGAAGGTGAATCTCTCTGTAGCATTTGCCACGAGTGCGACCCAAACGGCCACTGAAACTGAGTCTACAACGTGCCGCAGCTCTTTGGCCTCTTCTTCTGTAGCGTCCCGCCTTTCGTGCTCAGGATGCTGAGTCACCATAGTGAGTCTGTTAATGTAGAAAATCAGCAGAGGATGTATGGACACTCCGTCAGAAAGGCCGATTGTAAACCAGTTCAAGAACCTTGAGAGTGCTGTGATGTATGGTGGTGGTCCTGCGGCAAACTACAATCTAAGCTTAAAACACGGACAAGTATTCACAAAGGATTGCTGCACAAATAGCGGGGTGCAAGGCAACTATGATGCCCTGTTCATATTACGTACTGGGTTTGAAGACGTTATGTTTTCCATGTTGGTTGGTTCGGATCACTTTACAGATTTGGTAGTCGTCTTACAGGCACTTTTGAACGTCAGTACCTCCGACCAACTGCAGATGTTGCGTGGAAATGCGCGTTGGGGCTATGTCTGCATGTGAAGCGGCGCATCCAGGATCTGATTGGAAATCTACTTATGTTTGTCCTGCATGCGAATGTTACTGAGCAAATTATGCAGTGGACAATAACCCCAGCCCACTAAGAAAACAAAGGTACTGTAAATTATGGCCATATCAAGCTTATTTTGCGCTTACTCCAGGGTCTTCATGCGCCGACAGTTGGTACCGTATCCACTAACTAGCTACTGATCGCCATCACGTCAGATTTTGCCCCAGCACGACTACTTGCCCTTCTGGGAAGGAAATATTACGAGAGTCGTCCTCTCTTGTTGCCTCAATAGTAGTCATTGGCTTCCGTAAGCCATTTGATCGTGCATCGTACCCAAACAGCCTCTATCAAGATTCATGCAGTGATTAGTAGCTGGAAATGGGACGATCAGAGCTCGAGGATTGCAGGCGGTAGTCCGTGATTGACTGGTGATACACGGTCTCCTCAGTGTAGCGACCAAGCATAAATTAGCCATCAGCACTTACAGTCGCTGTATGTCTTTATTGGCATAAAGGAAGCGATAAAGAAACAGACAGAATCCATTTTCAATTGGACAAGGAGCTGCAAGAACTCACAATGGCAGCCAATGTACCTACTAAGTACGATATGTTGAAGTACACACCGCGCACCCACTGCTGTAAACAGTTTAGCATTAACAAGCAATACAGGCGGTTGCGCGTCGCTGACTACATCACTCTCTCGAATGGTGAGTATCTCGAAAACCCTCAACTAACAATTAGAAATTATGAAGTTGACCTGGATTTTCCAATGATCTAGGCTTTTGCGGAGGTATTCTAAATCATTCCTTACCCTATGATGTTGGGCGATTAACTCGTGTAAATAGTTCTCGCCATTTTCTGTGCGATACAGAAATCACTTCTCTCAGCGCACTTGCTCATCTTTCTCGGCTATGAGTTTGATCGCTTCGATGGAATAGTTGCAAGGGCTAGGAATGAATGTTCCGAAATGGGAAAACAATTGGATAGCTTCTGTGACTTGGTGAGTAATCTTTCGCGAGGCATAGGATTCTATGCTTACCTTCCGTGCTCAGGTCTCTTTCTGCGTGGCGCCGGCAGTCATGATCTATTCCGCTGGCTTTGATACTATGGCCGATCAGCTAGCTTTGGCTGTATTTGTCTGTGCAGGTGTTGCTCGACTCGCAAGATTCAACATCGCTGCGCACTTGGTACCAAAGAGCGATCAGGGCAAAGCGATGTACCACGAGGGCCTTCCTACAGCATATGCGGCTCTTCTCATTTCTACAGCAGTTGCTGTTGCAGAATGGACAGGCTATTTGATCAACTTGGCTTCTGGCTCTCATTACCCAGTCATTATTGCTGTGCTCATTTTCAGTGTCGCTATGGTTAGCAAGCGGCTGCACTTATACATTGATGGAGCTTACAGCATCCCCGCTGTAAGCATATTGGTTTTTGCAGGGTGCTGGTCGCACTCACCGATTCCAATCGCTGTGCTTTGGTGAGCTATCGATGTTGAATCATGATGGGGATTTAGTAGTATGACTCGGTGTCGGTAGATAGTGTGGAGAAAGCGACGAAATGCAAGGAAAGTGGACGGAAGACGTGATTCAGAGTGAGCTGTATGCTGAGAATGTCAGGCAATGAATTTGAGTGGGAAGCTGATTGAGGGGTCAAGGCAAATAGACAGACGGGTGCTGACGATGTACAAGGTGAAAGGTCGGTTAGGGCTATCAAGAGGCTGACAGAGGGAATAAACCAATAGAAAATGGGGGACACATTCTCGTGAAACATAAAACTCTTCAGTTCCACCAACAGTGCAGCGCAAACATTTGTTCTCCAGCTCTTTTGTTACCGCTCTTTATTCTCAAATCTTGGCCATCATGTCCCTTCGACCCTACCTGGAAGCTGCCTACAGAGAGGTTCGTTTGTCTACAGAAACCGCACTCAGTCCGCTGCAGAAGCTTGATTGCCACCTCAAAAAGGGTCAAGACAACTTGATCCTTGTTTACGGTGGCTCTTTTAACCCCCCGCACCGTGGGCACTTGGACGTACTGCTATCAGCACTGCACCCTGTCGTCAATGCCGCCGCCGTGGTGGTTCTCCCCAGCGAGGATTTCCACCTACGCCACAAGCTGAAAAACAGTCACCCAGAATTCTTCATGAGTCGGAAGACAAGAGCTGCACTCTGGGCCGAGATGCCCCAGGTGCCTAGAAGTAAAGTCTGGATATGGTCAGAGACATGGTACCCATTTTTCACGTTCATGGAAGCGGCGCAGCGGCTTTGCGAAGCGGATGGTTACAAGATTGTGTTTTCGCATCTCATTGGACCGGATAACCTCAACAGAGCCGATGCTCTTAATAATTTGCCCTACAGGTTCCCGCGAATACTTGTCACAAACAAAGCGCGACATGTACCCTCGCAATTTTTACCAAATGGACAGCCAACTAAATGGAAGGGCTTTGGGGAATGGCTTCCGCAAAAAATGGCACGTGATGAACAAAGTAGGTGAACTGAATCACTTTCTCACTTATTGCTTGAGTTTTCTGACTCTTCCAGATGGAAAGCTTGAAGAAGCAGCGGAGGAGGCTACACTTTGGACTTGCCGAGGTGCTGATAGCCTCGGCCAGCGGACAATGGGTTACTACCTCGATTTTGCAAACAGACCAACTGGGTCTGACATCAACTCAACAGCCATGAGACGAGACCTCCTCGAGAGACATGGATTGGACGAAGAGATTCTGGGCCAGATGAGCACCTTTGACCTTCTAAGCATCCTGGAGCCAGTACTACGCGGAGATTAGACTCATCGATAGAACAACCCATGTCACGCAATGCTACTTATCATGTCAGATTGCTCGAACAGTAAAACATGTTTAGTAAAGGGTTCTATATTCACGTAATACTTACATTCCTTTCCTGAAAGCTTCTTCGTCACATGGTAGTGCATATCTCCTAACGTAAGCTTAGTTTGGTACACGAGCCGCATGTCCACCTGCCACGAACGGAGCTGACGTCGCAGCTGGGGAAAGACCTGACAGATCTCAGATCAATGGCCCGGCAGCCTAGTTGGGAAGACATCACTATTGTCTTGGGTCGATGATGACTCAACCAACAGTCGCCTGCCACCGTGTGGCGTAACCTACAAGAAAAATGGTGAATTTTGGCTTACACAAAGAACTGCGTAACAAGATACTTACTGGTTGGCGTAATGACGGGAGGCGGGGTGAAAATGTTTGCTTGGGGGGGTTGATCGCTTCCGATGTTCATATTCTTAGCACAGTTCCAGTGATGGATGAATCATCATGGATGATGCCCCTGTACCCATCAGTCAGATCAAGCACTCAGTTTCAGGTATATAATGAGATGCCTCTATTTGATTGATGTTTCGACTTTGTCATCTCAACAAAGACATTACTGAATATCTTATATCCACCTTTTAAGCAGAAAGTATGGCAGTATTGAATGGTTACTTCAGACCCAAAGTGGCCTTTGTCACTGGTTCGTTGTATGCACCTTGTGAGAAACTGTTCCACTATCTAACATGTGAGACAGGAATAACCGGTCAAGATGGCTCGTATCTATCCGAACTGCTGCTGGAAAAGGGCTACCAAGTTCATGGCTTGGTACGGTCAACTGCCTCCAGACGCGAAGCTCTGAGCAAGCCACTCCGACCTGGCTTGACCATGCATCTTGGCGACATGTCCGACCTGGGCAGTCTTGTCCAGATCTTGGGCAGCATCAAGCCCGATGAGATCTACCATCTTGCTGCTCAGTCCCACGTGGCTGTCTCATTTGACACTCCACTGCAGACTAGTGACACCAATGCTATGGGTACACTTCGTCTTCTTGAAGCCATGCGAATGCTGGGTTTGGACAAGTCCACAAAGTTTTACAATGTAACGTTCCTTTATCTCGCATCATATATGAAATGCGAAAAGGCTAATATACTGGTTTAGGCCTGTTCATCTGAAGTGTTTGGGTCGGACATGCCCGCTCCACAAACTGAGGAGACCGCGTTCCACCCAGTATCACCATATGCTGTCACCAAGTTGTTCCAGTACTGGACTACTGTCAACTTTCGAGAGGCATATGGCTTTCATGCCTCGAACGGTATTCTCTTCAACCATGAATCACCGAGACGGGGCACCACTTTCGTCACCCGAAAGATTACTACACAAGTAGCTCTAATTGCTTGCGGAAAGCTAGACTTCTTCTCCTTAGGAAATCTCGACGCTGTCAGAGATTGGGGCCATGCAAAGGATTACATGCAAGGCGTGTATCTGATGCTGCAACAGCCAGTCGGAGGCGATTATGTTCTTTCCAGTGGCAAGTCCTACAGCGTTCGCGACTTTGTGGAGGCAGCTTTCAAGGTCATCGGGGTCAATATTGAGTAAGTTCTTCTTCACCATCGTGCGATCGCAGTGGCTGACACATCAATCAGATGGACTGGAACCGGTCTTGAAGAGGTCGGTATTGACTCAGCTAGCGGAAAGATTCGCGTTAAAGTGAACCCCGAGTTCTACCGACCGCTTGATAACCAGAACTTGCTTGGCTCAGCAGCCAAGGCGAAGAAAGTGCTCGGTTGGAAGCCAACCTACAGCTTCGAAGCGCTGGTTGAAGAAATGGTACTTTGCGATGTTGATGCCGTCAATACAGGTCGAATCTTCTCCAACAGTTACTTGGACTGGGTAGTTGGCAAGGCGGAAACTGGAAATGGAGTCGTGAGCCACAGTCCTGCCAAGTCAGTTGGTGAGGCTCACAGCGTCACTACGAATTCAGATGGGGCTGAGAAGATCAACCTGGCGGACGTTGAGGGGGTTGATGCGGAGGGTACAACTCAGGTTTAGTCTAGCTATCTTGTTGATGCTTCTAAAGCAATAGTCATTCATTCTAGATTTCTCTATCTGATATCTCCATGAAATAGTTTAAGCCAATATATAAAACTGTATTCTCTTTCTTTTTTAATTACTTCTTTAGTTGTCTTGTAACGTGCCAATACACGGCAGAGCGATACAGGACCCTAATTCTCAAGTTAAGCCCTAGCATCAACACTAAATGGAGATCAGCCTGTAGTTGCCGCTACCCATGTCCTCGCTTGATAATCGAGAAGGGACTTTATCAGCTCCAGTATGCTCAAAGGATGACCGGAGTGGCGTAAACTACCTGTTCTGCCTTATTGAGAGTGTTTTTGCCCTCGGCACTGGTTAGCTCTGATTGGTCATTTATGGTTACGCGTAATAGTTCTCTCGTTCCCCGGTAGTGACACAAACGTGCCATGTTACCTTTTACAGAAATTATGATTAGTCTCATCTGTATAACTAAGCTGACGTTTGTGCCGCAACGCACTCCTTATGGGGAAGGTACCTTTTCCATGAAAATGAGGTGATGTGGGGGGATGAGACACCCCAGTCAGTAACCCCCAATGCGGTGACTTGGAGTAGGGCTCTTAAATTTCGCAATTACTCATATTTTGCCGTAGACGTTGTTGGTTGTGAAGTGATCAATAATTCCGCTTGACCAATGCATCAGATGTTTCCAAGTTTCACCGCCATTCTGATCTGACCAACAACGCAGATCAGGGTAATCAAGGCAGCTCTTCTTACGGTAGGTGTCTGAAACATTTTATTACGAGAGAGAGATTTGACAAATCTCTTACAAGCGCAGGGACCAAAGGATGACGTCTAATGCAGCTACGTTTGCCATGCAAGTGTCAGAATGTGAATTTCACTTACGGATAAAACGAGGGACACCATTCCATGGCAATAGACAATACCAAACACAAAACACTACTATTTCAGTACCCTTCCCCCACCGTAAACTTCCTTTGATAGCTAAAGAATTCAGTACCTGCGGCCAAGATGGGAAGCCAGTTAACCCCTAAGATGGATGGATCGTTTTTCTCCGAGACCTTTTCGGTAAAGGCTCTCGGCAGTGACTGTAAGCTGCCGTCCGAGATTCCACTAGCCAGGAGCATCTTACGCTGACATGTTACCTTTCCTCTTTGCTAGCCACCGTGAAAGCCGAGTGCCGTTGGAGATTCTCGCCCCCTCTCTTGCCTAAGAAAGTCAACGGAAATGCACATCCGTACTACAAATCTATCGATCTCATCCTGAATATCACATCCTCGGAGAAGACCGAGACGGATGGCCACGCAGCCAATGGAACGGAGGGTATTGCTGACTGTACTAATACGCCATTGGGGACTATCATCAACAAATGTGTGACATCAAAGCTGCCGTACGCCGGGGGTAGCAGACCAAATCGCGCCATAGAGGCTCTGATCAAGGTCTTGTTGGTCCCACGCAATGGCTATCTCTCTCGACCCGATATTCTGCAGTTGAGAATGGTACATTCTGACTGTGTCGAATCCGTCATTCCCCTCCAGGGAGAGGACAAGCCTTACCGCGCGGTACTTCAAACAGAAAACGATCTGCTTTCTCTTTTACGGTCCTCTCCCGGGGCTTTGATCTGCACAGAATCCATCCAATCGGCTCATGGCCTCCAGGTCTTTGACCTTGTCGATCGGGAAGTCGCCGAGAGGCTCTCTTTCGACTGGATCCTCCCTGACAAAGCTCCATCATTGATCGTGGCAGTTGTTGGCGGTCGCCCTCTGTTCGATAGCACGACAGGGGGGTATGGTTCCGAGGGACCCTTCGACGCGGCTAGAGCGCTTGGAATAGCTGTCATCGTCCTTGATCGACCCGGCCATTTCATGGAGGGCCCAAAGTACAGTTATCTGCGAGACGACTTTATTGCTGTCGATATGAACAGTGATGACAGTTTGTCTGAAAGACTCACCGCAGCTGTCAAGGGTCGCAAAATAGATGGCATCATCACCTTCTCAGATGAGTATGTCATCGCAACTGCAAAAGCAGCCGAGATGTTGGATCTCGAGACTGAGCCCGTTGAGTCCATAATCACCGCTCACTACAAGGATGCGACCCGCAAAGTTCTCAATACTCCCAATATGCAGTCTTTTCGGTTGGAGAGTGCCAAAGACTTGGATAATGAAGAGATTTCGAACAAGTTGGAAACCTTGAAGTACCCTCTGGTGATAAAGCCATGTCGTGGTGGCGCCTCTCGGGGTGTCAAAAAGGTTCAAAACCACCACAAACTCCGAGAAGCAATCGACCAGCTCGAGAGCGATGGTCTTACAAAATACGGGATCCTTCTCGAGACTTACATAAGTGGGCCCGAGATAGATGCCAACATTGCTCTTTGGGATGGCGAGCTTATGTTTGCAGAGATCACGGATGACTTTCCCTGCACTGCTGATGCCAACGACGCCACTATTGCGGACAACTTTGGAGAGACTGTCATGGTGTCACCCACGCTATTGCCCCAGAAGGAACAGGACCTGATCAAGTCATCTCTGCACCAAACCCTGCTAAAACTTGGTTTCCAAAATGGGGTATTCCACGTTGAAGCTAGAGTTCAGAACTCAAGCATGCGATACCAAGAAATTGACGGCCTTGTTGATTTGGCTAATACAGACAACCCGTCACCTGGCGACCCTGAGGTGTATCTCATTGAGGTCAACGCACGCCCTCCTGGCTTGGACTGCGCCTTCTCAACCCTTCACGCTTACGGGGTAGATCTTTGCGCCCTACAGCTGCTCCAATGCCTACGGGATGGCGATCGCTTTAAAGCGATGTGTAAGCCTTTCTTGTCTGAGACACAGTACTGGAGCGCGAACTGCCTGATCCCAATTCACCGCCATAACGTACTGGTACCAGAAGGCTTCTGTAGCGAAGTCCTGGAGAGAATGCCAGACGTTGCTCCGTTAGTTTATAGGTCAGAGCTATTTAGGCAGCCTGGCACTCTCGTGTCGCCACCATTGGGCGTTGAGTTTCTGGCTTATTTCTTGGTGCAGTCTAGGACTGATCGACGAAAGGTGCTGGAGACCTATCATCGCCTTATACAAACTTGCAGGGATGTTTTGGATGAGGTGTGAGAACATTAGTTAGATATGGTCATCAATTCAGCATTTGAACTCAACCTCACTGCCTTAGCTTGAGCTCTCCTGTAGTGGTCGGTGAAAGCTAGTCATTTGTATACCCTCCCCCATGTAAGCATGACTCAATGCCTGACCATGCCAGTAGGACTTGAAGCATAACTCGAAGCATAATTTGACGTACCGATGGACCAGCCGACCATGACGCCATAGTCAGCGCGTCAGCTCGGTGATTGCCTCATCGGAACAAATATCTTCTCAGGGTTAGGCTGCTCGGAACTTTTGTGCTGACAGTTTGTTTCAAGCCGGGTCGGGCCGCATATAATCCTTCGACAACTCAGTCAAATAAGGTAAAATATGCCGACATTTTATAAATCGCATAAAAATCAAGCTTGTGTTGGCCTTTATGCGCCGGAACACATACCCGGGATGCAGTCGGCCTCTATGGCAGCCTAATCAACTCCCTGCAATTCAACTAGGGTAGGCAATCTGTGTAACATGAAAGCGACATGACCAACCAGTTGAATTGAGGTCTGTCCGATTCTTATGAAATCGACTCCGACGCGGTTGATCCTTCGTATGGCGTATGCAGCGCGACTTGGGGGCTAAACAAGAATTGCTCTGGAAACCCCGGCTTAACTCCACACGAGGAGCGTTCTCGATCTGCCAGAGTTGCCTTCTTGATGGGGAGTCAGTGGGTTTGCAAGTGATTTGGGCTGGAACTTTTGAGGGTGCCCGTAAGCTGCAGCAAAAACGCCTTAACGTTGCATCTGGTTTCATTTCAACAAGGAAATGATGCTCACGTGCTTTGTTACTGGTTTCAGGATGCACAAATGTGCTCAAAAGCCGGTTGTATTGAAAGGTTTTTTGTCTTCCTATTGTAATGGATCAAATAGCTTGTGAAATTCTGGGTGCATTATGTCGGCTGCCTCTCAATCAGGTACAACCATGAACGTTGTATTCACTAGTAACACATCTTCGACTGCTGCATCTCTGGGCGCCAATGCCAACGTTAGCGATCTAGAATGCCAAGGAGACACGGACCCAAGGGCCAAGAAACGCTTGCAGAATAGGGTTGCCCAGCGAAGTTACCGTAAGGCTGACCCCTCCACGATAGGCTTGGCTTGAGGTAGTTACTGACGAGCTGAAATAGGGCGTCGCGTCAAGTCCCGCATTGCCGACTTACAGAAGAAGGTGGCTCAGTATGAAGATGCGAATTCCTCGAATGAAGTTACAGAGACTGGGGATCAACCTCGTTCTCAAGAAGATTCTGTGCGCCAAAGGATCTCATATACATCGCCTGAAACGACCAACCGTGGATCAACTCAGGGCTTGCCTGAAGCTTTGAGCTCCCGGTCAAGCCGCGAGAAGAGCCAAGAGAGTTCCACTCACAAAAGCTCGAATTACACCCTCTCCCCAGCAAGTTCTCTCGGTCCTGTGAATGGGATCTCAGGTCCTCCCGTGATCAAATCAGTAAGGCCTTATCAACAAGCTAGACCAGGCCGCGAGGTGCAGCAAAGCCGTCCCTCAGGCCTTATAGCCGAGCCTCACGAAGCCAATGGACAGCTTCATCAAACGCATTTTGACGATATTGCCGTGAGCCAGAACACCAGTTCAGCCATACTGCAGTCCTTCCCTACATCAACCTTTGATACGACTGCTTCTCATCACCCATTCATTACTGACGACCTTGAAGGAGACCTAGATCTTGGATGGATGATAGCAAACACAGAGTTGGAGGGACAAAAGTCATGCTCACGCGATAAATCACCAAACCACAACCCAAGACCCCCGTCAACAAACTCAAATTCACTAAAAGCCCAATCATCCACCGCAAGAGAAGCAAGCTTCGCCTCATCTTCAAGATCACCCACCATGCCCGGAGAATCACTAAACGCAAGATTCCAGAACATCATGGAATGTGTCGGCGCAATGGGCTTCGAAAGCTTTGACGATCTAGTCACATCATACTATGCGGATGACTTTGAGGAAGCATCCAAGCTATTCCATGAGCAGCGGTTCAGCAGAATCAGAAGACTTCCTGGAGTATTCGCGGAGATAATGGAAGGTGCAAGAAAGTGGGAGCCTTCAGAGCGCCGGGGTCTTGGTGAAGAGGTTCTCAAGGAGGCTGAAGCGGTTCTCATGCTTGAGAACAGCGAAGCCTGGCAATCACTACAGTCAATTACAGATGCGGCCGTGACCAAGGATGATATCTCTACGGAGCAGGTATATCAGAATCTCAGTACAGTCCTACCCATGGAGGTACGTACATATACACCAACCCAGGATTCTCTTATGATGCAGATGCTAACATTAAGTCAGATGCCTAATCTTTGGACCTTATTAATGGCCCTTGTAGCATCCGACTGTCCAGCATGGCAGCGCGATTGTTCCGGCACAGCTCTGGCAATCACTTCACTATTGCATTTCACAGGTCGGATACCAAAAGCTAAAATACTAGAACTGATAGGTCTTTGTATTTCGTAGATCTAGAAATTATAAATACTTTATTATCTGTATCTCTATTCTAAGATAAAATTAACTAATGAATCCAATGCGACTTGCTGCTCGACATTGTCAGTATTTCTCACTCTTGCACTTTGGTAATCCTCTTCTGACAATTTCGATTTTGCGAACTCCAGTATTTGACCTAATGCTTCAGCGTCAAATTCGGGGTGCGCTTGTAGCGACCAAAGGCGTTTGGAAAGAAAGAGACCTTGTATGCGAGTGTGATCCGTCGAGCCGAGATTCTGGAGTTGTCCCAGGTCTTGATCTTTGACCTCAAACTGGTGACCCTCGTTTAAACACTGTGCCCACATAAGTCTTTGCGTTTAAATAAAGCCATGCATAGTTTGAACGTACAATAGAGTCTTGTTTAAACAGTCTTTGCCCTATATCTGATAGTTGGATAGTTGTCGCAGAGAACTCGTATCCCGAGTCATTGCACTCAACGGATAGCCCGTAAGCCATAGCTAAGATCTGATGACCGAAGCAAAAGCCGACAAACTTTTGATGAGATGTTGTTTCCACTTCCTTGTTGATGTATTCCCGAAGCTTCACCAACCAAGGTTCCTCGCCTTCTGGATTCGCGGCTATATCGAAATTCGTCAGTTTGTCCTTCAGTAATTATTTAGTGCGGCCATGACTCACGTGCACCAGTAATTATGAGCACATCGTAATCTCCTGGCTCCGGATAGTTCATGGCATTCTTCACATCCCAGACGCGTATCTGTGCGCGTTCCTGCAAACGATCGTTTGACCTAAGCCATTTGGAAACAAGAGGGCCATAACCTCCCCACTTCGATCTGTCGGGGTCAATGTGGTTATCGCACTCCAAGACACTGATCATCACAGTTTTAGCCATTGTGAGCGATGACCAGGTGTTGTTGTGTACTGTTTGGTTTAAAGATCGCAATATCAGACCTTCCTCTTTTTACTTGCAATGGACCTATTAGGCTATATAACTAGACCATAGCATACCAGTGACGTCTTTGGGAATGGTGGAAAAAAGCCACTATGTTTATGCTAGTACTTTCTCGTCGTCATATGTCTAAGGGGAAGCTCCATAAGAGTCATGATAGGCGTCATGATACTAAGATTCACGATCCACTAAGATACCGGATTTTTAGTTTGCGCTTTACCCAATTTGTCATCTATGACAGCTTCTACTGGAGGCAAGTCTCGGGACAGGGATCTTATTTTCCGACATAGCTTAATTAATGCCTTCGGAGCCGGGCATGTCTAACTCTGCTTTTTAACTGTCGGGTCGCTGATGCCAGTAATACCACGGCTGAACACCAGAAAGTGCAGTCTCACCAAAGTCAGGAAGACATACGATCCACCACAGCCCCAATCATCCGAAGTCCAGGTTCCTCCAGGTCTCCCTTGGCGGGCCATGGCAAAACCCACTCCGCTAATGCCCGCCAGGTCAGACAGCAGCAGCGAGAACTGCAAAATCCTCCACACGGTGATATCTTTCGAGTATCGGGGAATGGCAGCGGACAGAAAAGCAACAGCCAATGCAAGGCCGCCACTCTGATGGAAGACAAAGACTTGATTCGGGTCGTATTTTGAGTTGGGTGCCATCGAGGTGACTGCGCCAATTGGATCAATGAAGTTCAGATAAGCTCCTCCGAGAGCAATGATTGGGTCAATCCATTTGAAGAAAAAGGCATAGAATTTAAAGGTTGTACTGTCGGTAGTCGACATATTGCTTGTCGAATTTCGGGGAGTTGTTCAGTTGATGTTCAGTAAGAGGACTTTTGAGTCTATAGATGAAGTGTTTAATTGAGTACTTCTCTTGTTACGGTTTCGGCACACTTGGGTGGCCTATATATAATTCCTTTGGGTGTAATATTCAGGAAAGTAGTGAATAGTCCGTCGGGTTAATTATGATGGTTTGGACATTCGGTAATTTCTAAAAGTCCGTTATCTCCGTAAGATTTTAGTTCAGCACCGTGAAGGGTTTAGGCAGCTAGAGGCTAGGGCAGTGGCTGCACCAGCTGTGACTGGCATTGTGGAGCTTGTATGATCGAGAGTATTATAAAACGACACTTGTATAAACTAAGATGCTGAAATACTGTTAGGCTGAGCCACGGGAAGCGCGCCTCTGCCTAGTGCGAACTTATTGTCTTCCTGCTTTGTCTCTGACTTGATGTTTTGCCCAAGCCTTCGCTTATTAAATACATTCTCAACATGGTCTTTCATGTTATACCTTCAGAGAGTCAGTAAAGAAACACTCCACTTCCGATGTCAAGGGAAACTTACATGTTCATCTCATCGATTGTCAGTTTACCATCTTCAGTTGCAACATTGTAAACCTTGGTGTTTGTGTTGCTAGAAAAGCCTGTCCGCAATTGTTAGCATCCACATGCAGGAATCGGCTCGAAATCTCTCACCAATCCGCTCGTTGATGTTCTCCCTGGCCCTTGCTGATGCAGCCTGAACCTTGGTAGCCCTTGGCTTGCGGACCTCCTCGAAGACTTTGAGAGACTCGCGAATATCGCCGTTGAAGTGCTTCTTGCTGAACACGAGACCGATAGCGGCAGCATCTTCGATGGCCTGGCAAGCACCCTGACTTTGATCCGGCATCATCTTATATCTGTGTCAGTGCATAAAACGTAAAGACATAAGAACATCACGACTTACTGGATGAGCAGCATCTCCCATAATACAGGCAACTCCCTCCGTCCAGTGATCGTAAGGCTCATGGAGCCACAGTCTCCAGGGGCGGATCTCGTACCCAATCTCAAGATGCTTGAAAACAGCCCGGTCCAAATCGGGATATGGGTCGAGAAGCTCGTCTAGGGTGGCCTCTTGATCCCAGGTCTGTGCCTTGAGGTCGCCAGCTTCGCGCGGGAAGAAGCAGTAGTAGGACAGGAGCTTGCCTCCGTTGCAAGGAGACAGAACGATCTTGAAATGGGTGTTGTAACCTCCCCAGTACTCAAGAGCGCTGTTCTGGGAGTAATCAACTAAGCCGAGCTCTACAGCCTTTGCAGTGTCAACATTGGTGTGCAGACATGTGCAAGTCGCTGGTTTGCGATCCGGCTTGATGCCGAAAACACTGCGAAGTGTTGATCCAATGCCATCGGCTCCAATGACTAGGTCGTGCTTCACCTTCTTGCCATTTGCAAAGGTGACTTCTCCACTCTCCACATCTACATCAGTAGCCTAGAACAAGAGACAGCGATTAGTGACACTTCTGTGATATCTGAGAATAACTCACCTGGTGGTTCACAATGAGTTGAGCAGGAGGGCCTTCGCCTTCACCAAGGGCACTGTCCATCAACATGCGATGCATATACTGGCGATGGAACATGTAGTAGACCTTGATGATGTTATCAGCATCTCAATCGCCGATCCAGGCTCGAAGTCAAGGTATCACTTACATATCCCCATCGTTCTTTATAATCCTTCAGATCGTAGACGCTGATAGGCTCACCAGTCTTCCAGTCACGACTGATGAGTTTTCGGAGAGTAACTGGATCGCCAATCTCAATATTGACATTCCATTCCTCTAGCCAGCGAGTACCATTAGCAGCACATGAGATGGAGGCTCCAACCTCGCCGGCAAAATCAGCACGCTCGTAGATGGTAACCTTGTGGCCTTGGCGACGAAGGGAGGTAGCGACTGCTTGACCTCCGATGCCTCCTCCAATGACAGCCACGTCAAGTGCGCGCCAACCGCTGTGAGTCGACATTGCTGTTTCGGTGTGTTTGATGATTCAAGTCTGGGGTTTCAAGGTTCAAACGATGGAACAGGACGACAATGCAGACAATCAGACCTTTCTGTTGTTTCTACGAGAGGATAGTTTGTGTATTCATGCCATTGAAGCTTCAAATAACCCTTGGAGGCTTTGGCTTTCCACTACTGATGTGCAGTATGCTCCCGATTATGCCCCGATTGCTGACCAAGAGCTGTGAATGTCCAGCATATCGGCTTCTTTCCGGTCATAGTCCGTTTACAAATACTCTCGATGTAGGTGGTCGGACACTGCAGGAAAGCCTCACGCAGCACCTTATCTATGATCACCTATATGATAAGCAACGGCCATCAGCCGCGCCCATTGAAACAACATTGGGTTACTTCCCGACCACTCCCCGGCGGAATCTAAAAACCCGCATGATTCCCTTTGTAGTCATGGGGTCCTATCTGCATCTCACATAGGTGTCGTTTCCTGCCGCCAGTGTCATCGAAAGCCATCGGTGTACTAAAGGTATTCTGATGGTACACTGCAGTCGCATCTTGCACCCCGCGCTCGCACTGATAGACCACCTCCTGGATGCAACCTTCGGAGATCATTACCTTCACTAGCGCCAATCTGTGCCTGAGATAGGAAACATGATATCAGATCCCTCCGTCACATCCTTCGTGATTCGGAACGGCCCCTGCGACTGGCCCCATCTTTCCGCTCCCGTTCCGAGAAAAGGGCCATTCCTTTCCTGTCTTAGCTCTCTAACCCTCATGAACTGGAACAGAATACGGAGCAACCGATTAGGTGATTGCCTTGACTGTAGGGTAACCCCCAACTGGTCAGAGCTGAGAGTAGAGAGCCGCAACTAGTTTGGTCAATGGGTAGTGAGAATCCATCCAGACATGACAGCCACTGAGTAGTTTATATTCTCAGGCGTTGCAGGTAAAGAACCTGGGAATAGACTGAAGATGATAGAAACCGAGATTTAAATTATGTCAACCAAGTTCAAACAGATTTCTAGAATCTTTCCTTCCCTAATTTGAAAGAGCCATAATTCGATAGCTGCCGTTTACTTCAGCCCCGAAGAAGCATGCACACAACAGGCATCAAGTAGAAGAGATACATTCCCGTAGCGGACATAGACAGGATGGCATTGGACGCTGCGGGGTTGACCAGGTATAGCAGACCAAGATGACGATGTGAATGAGGGTTTCGTGCCGTCTCTCTGGCTAATACGACGGATTGCCGAGGGAGATGAGACCTTGGATCATGAAGCTTGAATAGAAGCCAGACTGTGGTAAGCGGAACCGTTAGTGCGCGATCTGTGCCTGGTCGACCCCGTAGACATCAGGCTCAGTTGAGCGGAGCTGCTTGGCAAGGATCTCAGGAACACCATAGGCGAGATGACAAGGACATGTTGTACTATCTGAACCCAACCTAGCAATTAACTACAATTTACACTCTGGCCGAAGACGTCTGCTTGGTAGATCGTCATTTTGCCCAGGGACGAGATGATCCAGATCTCTTGTGTTCACATAACCAGGGTGAGCGTCCCGTATCAAGTCTGTGATTCCGCAAAGTCGCATCGCTGTCTCTATTTCGTCCTTGATAACTGCAACACGAGTAAGCCTTGTGAGTTAGACGAGTCAGGGTAGGGGACATACTGTTGATTGCATGCTCAACTCCTTCTTGACCATAGCCAAGTGAATACAGAAGCGGCCGGCCAAAACCGACTGCTGAAGCGCCAAGACATATAGCTTTCACAACGTCGGATCCTCGTCTAAACCCTCCGTCAATGAGGACTTTCATACCCTCAAATACTTCTGGACAGATCCTTTTCACTTCTAAGAGCGTTAGAATAGCAGGGGGTGCACCATCAGCAGCTCGTCCGCCATGATTACTGATGACGATGCCGTCGCAGCCTGCAGCCAGCGCCATCTTTGCATCAGATGCTCTCTGTATGCCCTTTACAACGATTGGTATGCTTCCAAGAATGCTACGTAGCCACTTGATGTCGTCCCAACAAACATTTGGGTCAATGAAAGAGGAAGCAAGTCGCGCAAACCCCGCCCCTTTCTTGTCTCTCGCCTGCCCAGGCCCTGAACTTGACGACGCTCGCTCATCCTCTTCCCGCTTGGATATAACGGGAACATCCACTGTCACAAACAGAGCCTTGATCTTACCTGTAGCGATGGCTTCTCGGATAGCGACCTCAGACTTTGATCGGTCTTTGTTGACGTACAGCTGGAAGAACGCCTGTGTCTCCGTGGCTTCCAAGACCTCTAGATGGGGATATGAAGACGGGGTGGCAAAGCATTGGACAATTCCAGCCTTTGCTGCTGCACGCGCCAGTGTGGTCTCGCCTTCAGCGCCTCCGAGCTTCGATCCTCCTGTGGGTGAGATGTAGATAGGGAATGAGAGGTCACAACCGAATAATCGCTGGCGAGTATTTATCTGCCCAACTTTTCTCATTATCTCCGGTCGGAGCCAAATTCGATTGAGAAACGTATTATTTGCATCGCGCGTGATGTTGTCGTTGGAGCCAGTGTGAATGACTGCCCAAGGCTTGGTGGCGAGGAACTTTTCCGCCACTCGCTCGAAGTCGTGGAGGTTGATGATTTCACTTAGATCGGGCTTGGACTTGGGTTCGGATGCGGTATCAATGGACGGGTCAATATTGGGTTTCGCATCCTTCTCCAGGTCTTTCCATGCCGCATCGATTGTCGCCATGTCCAACACGCCGACGTGGCAGGATGCAGGTAAAGATTTCTTGATCAAGGACGGGGAATGTATCTCGTTGTACGACCTGGAGGCATCTCGGCCAGCGTGTTGATAGATGACTGTTGAGTTCACAAGGTTAGCCATTTCATGGTTGCTACTTGTTGTGACAAAGAGGTTGCGGTAGTAGGCTTACTCTCTTCCCCACCAGGATGTTCAGGCGCAAAGTTGGTCATGTCGTATATCTCTCCATTGACGACGATCCAGACATCCTCTTGTTTTCCATGTTGACGTATT